GTGTTGTGGCTTATTTCCATTGTGTTGTGGCTTGTTTCCATTGTGTTGTGCTAATGTCATTGTGTTGTAGCTTGTTTCCATCGTGATGTGCTAATTTTGTTGTGTTGTGGCTTGTTTTCGTTGTGTTGTGCCAATGTCATTTTGTTGTGGCTTGTTTCCGTTGTGTTGTGCTAATGTCATTGTGCTGTGGCTTGTTTCCATCGTGATGTGCTAATATCATTGTGTTGCGACTTGTTTCCATTGTGTTGTGCTAATTTTGCTGTGTTGAGGCTTGTTTCTGTTGTGTGTTCTTGTAGTTTTCTTTTTGTTTTTTTTTTTTTTTTGGCTTTTTGTTTTTTTTTTTTTTTTTTTTTTTTTGGATTTGTTTTGCTGTTATTCTTTGATTTGTCTTGTTTTTTCGCTTTGGGGTTTGTTTAGCATTTGTGTTTTGATTTGTTTCTTGCAATTATATTGGTTTAGTTTTTTTTGTTTGTTGATGTTTTTGGGTTCTTTTCCTTTAAAAAAAAAAAAAAAATTAGATTTTTAGAAAATTAATTTAAATAAAAATTCTTAAAGACAAAGAAGAGCAAGACAAAGATGCCATCCCTGGTAAAGAAGTGGCAGAGCATTCAGAAAGAGCTAGATGAAGAGGAGAAGTCGAGCTCCAGTGATGAAGATGGAGAACAGCTCAACAACAGACGCATTGAGGAATGGAAACAACAACAGCTTGCATCGTAAGTTTGAAGAAGCTATTACAAAGATTGTCAGCATACATTTGAGAAACATACAGATTGTTCAAATGCTTGTCATTTTTGTCTCTACTTGCAGAGGGAAGGCTGGGAAGAATGCTAACTTTGAAGCACTTCCTGAAGACTGGAGGCAACGACTGTTAAAGAAAAGAAAGATGATGCAGATTTCATAACATCAGCCTTGAAAACACTAAACAGAGCCTATGGAGGAGGTGGACAGAACTGTGCTATTGTGTTGTCTCACTTGCTAAGCTTCAGTGGATTTAGTCGGGCAAACTTGAACGAATGTCTCTTTTTTTTTTTTATACAAGTGCACAATCAACTCTGTGCTGTTAAATTCAAATGCATCATCTTGTGTCTAATGGTATACTTTGTTATGGGTTGTTGTAAAATAATAAAACAGCCTCTAATGTCTGGAAGTTATTTTAAAGCTGCAGTGAACCTGAAACAAGGTTAAACATGTACAGACATTTTTGTTCTACTTTTTTATTACTCCAACCATGAAACCTGTGCACGATTTCTGTAAATTAAAATGTAAAGAAATCAATATTAAAAGACTTTCTTTCTCTTTTTTTTTTCTCCTCGGAGCTGTTCTCAGTTTCTCCGAGGAAAAAAACAAGAACATTTTTTTTGTACAACGTCAAGGGTGCAAACCATCAGCTGTACAGTGAGCTCTGCTCTGTCATGGGTGACATTAAACAGTGCTGTACCTGTGCTGTGTATCCAGCTGACAGTGTTTTAAAAGCTAAGCTTCAAAATCAGTTTAGCTTTTATACACACAGAAACATCAGTCTTGGATCAGACCACTGTTAGCAAGAGTTTCAGCCATGCTTCTAAAATCACAGTTGAGACTTCTTTGTTGTCCACTCCTTTGCACTTTAAAGTATGCTTCATATGTGAACTAACTATATCTTTTCCCCCTCCATTGACGACGTTGTGATGAAGTCAACTCCTGTGCCAACCTCTTTTTTTCTCTATAATAATGAGCATTGGATCACTAAATGTCTTTTTTAAATCGAAAAATTGGTGTAAATGTTGCCTGAACTTGGGCTGTCGAGCCATCGAACCTTTTCTACATTGTAAATAAAAAAAATTCCACAAATCTTTTGGTCAAACAAGTCTTTTTGAACCTTTTTTGTATTTATTTATTTTTGGGTGTACATATTAAACCCTTTCAGTTAGCTGTTACTGTCATCGAAGAAGCTATTAAAACGTTGAATAGATGTGTAATTCAATTAAGTGGTATAATGCTAGCATGCACAGAATATTTCATTTAACGTTTCTCATGTACGTTTAGATAAAGTACAGAATTATTAATACTTGAACTGAAAATAAGCGGAATCTGAAATAAAAAATAATAAACTGAATAAAACTGACACCCAACAAAATTACTATAAAGAAAAATGCAAATGTAAATTCGAAGTAAATATTATGGAATAAATGGTTTATATTAATGTCTATAAAAGAAATATATATCAACAAATAGATGTGGTGTTCAATAAGCATAACATTTTTAAATTTTTGTTTAAACACTAAAGCTAATTTCTAAGAAAAAAGTTATTAACATAACGGAAATGTGTTCAATTCTTCTCTACATATATGTATATATATTGCAGCGTGCTTCAAGCAGGAAACGTGCGTCGTGCCCATGGCAACAGTGACACAAAAGGCGTCAGGGGCGCCTCAACAATAATTGTTACGAGGACATTACATTATAAAGTAGAACTGTTTAGCTCTCCGCTAAGACCGTTTTCATTTTAAAACACTAACCACTATGCAGTTTTCCCCAGGGGGTTAAAGCAAGATGGTTCTATATTAACCAGCGGTGTTATTTGATATCCTGTCAGGCGCTTGAAAATTGTGAAGTTATTTGTTGTTGTTTACTATGCCTTAATGAGCTGCGTGCTATCGCATCGCTTCGAGCCTCGGGAATGCAGGTGAGTGATCATGGCACAACATTTACTGCTGCTTTGCACTCTACGGTTACAGTCTAATATTACCCAGTTGGTTAACATGCCAACTCACTGATACTCAATGCCTCTTAACCTTCTGCCCCTTTGCTTGTACTTAAACTCACTTTTTGTTCTCCTATCATGTTAAACGAAAGAAATCAGATGATCCATATGAGAGATTCATTTTGCTACATCTTCAGCATTATGGATTCCTCTCCGGTAGGTTATTCGAGTCGGCGTTTGGATGGGTTGAACAACGCTTGACTGGTTTCATGGGTTTTCTATGTCCTCTGATATAGCATGACATCTTTTTCTTACTTTTAGTTTCTGTATATACATAGACAATACCTCTTCTGTGCATGCTGGCGTCCCCATCAAAAGAGAGTGGGAGGGCAACCAAGATTCGACTGCTTCAGACATGATCAACTCTCCATCTGAGAGCAATGACTCCAACTTCGAAGAGGAGCAGGAGGAACCCAAGCCATGTCAAAGTAAATATGTAAAACTCTTGGATCTGGGTCTGTTCAACTTCACACAGTGATGTGACGTATGGCAACCCATTTTTCCATATAAGAAAAAGTCATGCTTTGTTCAATTATAATTATGACATTATGAAATACGAAGTTATTAAAAAATAAGTAATAATTAAGGCATAAACTTAATTGTTTTAAAAGTATGTCATAAATTGGACTTTTTATATCATAATTATGACTTTTTTTCTCATGAGTTTTTGGTCAATTTCAATTTTGTTTCCCATTATTATGATTTTTTCGTCATCTTTTATCTCATAATTTTATTGCATGATTATGAAAGTATGTCATAATTTAAACTTGGTTTTATCTCATAATTATGACTTAGTATGTTATAATTGTAACTTTTCTCATAATTTTCTGGTCAATACTTTTTTGCTCATTATTATACTTCTTTTTATTTTTGTCATTATTTTGCTTAACTTTTATCTAATAATTATGACTTGGTTTGTCATAACTTAGACTTCTTATGTCTAAATTATACGGTGGCCGAGAGAGCTCAACACGCTGCACCTTCAGAAAACACATGCAAATAGAAAAAGCACCAGCAAATTAAGAAAACATCATCGGTTTGACAGCACGTGCTGCAAATACTCACAACACAACCAAATAAAGAAACGTGCTGCAAATACTCACAACACAACCAAATAAAGAAACGTGCTGCAAATACTCACAACACAACCAAATAAAGAAACGTGCTGCAAATACTCACAACACAACCAAATAAAGAAACGTGCTGCAAATACTCACAACACAACCAAATAAAGAAACGTGCTGCAAATACTCACAACACAACCAAATAAAGAAACGTGCTGCAAATACTCACAACACAACCAAATAAAGAAACGTGCTGCAAATACTCACAACACAACCAAATAAAGAAACGTGCTGCAAATACTCACAACACAACCAAATAAAGAAACGTGCTGCAAATACTCACAACACAACCAAATAAAGAAACGTGCTGCAAATACTCACAACACAACCAAATAAAGAAACGTGCTGCAAATACTCACAACACAACCAAATAAAGAAACGTGCTGCAAATACTCACAACACAACCAAATAAAGAAACGTGCTGCAAATACTCACAACACAACCAAATAAAGAAACGTGCTGCAAATACTCACAACACAACCAAATAAAGAAACGTGCTGCAAATACTCACAACACAACCAAATAAAGAAACGTGCTGCAAATACTCACAACACAACCAAATAAAGAAACGTGCTGCAAATACTCACAACACAACCAAATAAAGAAACGTGCTGCAAATACTCACAACACAACCAAATAAAGAAACGTGCTGCAAATACTCACAACACAACCAAATAAAGAAACGTGCTGCAAATACTCACAACACAACCAAATAAAGAAACGTGCTGCAAATACTCACAACACAACCAAATAAAGAAACGTGCTGCAAATACTCACAACACAACCAAATAAAGAAACGTGCTGCAAATACTCACAACACAACCAAATAAAGAAACGTGCTGCAAATACTCACAACACAACCAAATAAAGAAACGTGCTGCAAATACTCACAACACAACCAAATAAAGAAACGTGCTGCAAATACTCACAACACAACCAAATAAAGAAACGTGCTGCAAATACTCACAACACAACCAAATAAAGAAACGTGCTGCAAATACTCACAACACAACCAAATAAAGAAACGTGCTGCAAATACTCACAACACAACCAAATAAAGAAACGTGCTGCAAATACTCACAACACAACCAAATAAAGAAACGTGCTGCAAATACTCACAACACAACCAAATAAAGAAACGTGCTGCAAATACTCACAACACAACCAAATAAAGAAACGTGCTGCAAATACTCACAACACAACCAAATAAAGAAACGTGCTGCAAATACTCACAACACAACCAAATAAAGAAACGTGCTGCAAATACTCACAACACAACCAAATAAAGAAACGTGCTGCAAATACTCACAACACAACCAAATAAAGAAACGTGCTGCAAATACTCACAACACAACCAAATAAAGAAACGTGCTGCAAATACTCACAACACAACCAAATAAAGAAACGTGCTGCAAATACTCACAACACAACCAAATAAAGAAACGTGCTGCAAATACTCACAACACAACCAAATAAAGAAACGTGCTGCAAATACTCACAACACAACCAAATAAAGAAACGTGCTGCAAATACTCACAACACAACCAAATAAAGAAACGTGCTGCAAATACTCACAACACAACCAAATAAAGAAACGTGCTGCAAATACTCACAACACAACCAAATAAAGAAACGTGCTGCAAATACTCACAACACAACCAAATAAAGAAACGTGCTGCAAATACTCACAACACAACCAAATAAAGAAACGTGCTGCAAATACTCACAACACAACCAAATAAAGAAACGTGCTGCAAATACTCACAACACAACCAAATAAAGAAACGTGCTGCAAATACTCACAACACAACCAAATAAAGAAACGTGCTGCAAATACTCACAACACAACCAAATAAAGAAACGTGCTGCAAATACTCACAACACAACCAAATAAAGAAACGTGCTGCAAATACTCACAACACAACCAAATAAAGAAACGTGCTGCAAATACTCACAACACAACCAAATAAAGAAACGTGCTGCAAATACTCACAACACAACCAAATAAAGAAACGTGCTGCAAATACTCACAACACAACCAAATAAAGAAACGTGCTGCAAATACTCACAACACAACCAAATAAAGAAACGTGCTGCAAATACTCACAACACAACCAAATAAAGAAACGTGCTGCAAATACTCACAACACAACCAAATAAAGAAACGTGCTGCAAATACTCACAACACAACCAAATAAAGAAACGTGCTGCAAATACTCACAACACAACCAAATAAAGAAACGTGCTGCAAATACTCACAACACAA